GAAGCAGACCCCCTGCAGAGCGTGAACCCTAACAGGGGACTCGATTCCAGGACCCTGGGATCATGATCTGAGCTGGAGGCTGACACTTAAGCCACTGAGCCACCCCGGCGGCACACACGGGGCGCCGCGCAGGCACTCTCGCTCTCTCAGATCAACCTTTAAATAAATAAGAAAATACCAAAGCACTGGGTTCTTCTCAAGGTCTGCCCTCAGGGGAAACTGTTTTACCAGAGCCCAATCTTCCCGGGGGCAGGGAAAAACCGCCCCCAGTCCCCTCCCGCCCCCACCATCCCACCTGAGGGAGGAGAACTGGACCACAGGGTGGAAACCTCCCCTCCCCCAACCTGGCCTCCACATCACCGAGGGCCTGTGGGCAGCGGCTGCTTCTGGTGGGTCCGTCACGTCCACCTTGGGAAAGCCATGACAAGGCACACGGGAAGGCAAGACAGAGTCTGACAAGCCTCAGCAAGCATCGGGACAAGGCAGAAACGGCAGAAATGCTGGACTCATCAAACCAAGAACCTGGTAAAAGTAGAATTAGTACGGCAAGAGCTTCGCTGCAAAACGCAGACGCCATGCTAGAACCGAAGGGTGACGCAAGCGGAGGGGAACTCGAGGAGTCACAATGAAATGCCTGGGACCAAAAGCCCCAGCAGAAACGAGGGGTGCCTCTGACGAGCTTACTCATAAACTGGGCGTGGCTGAGGAAGCCCAAAGAACCATGGGAACCCCCAACAGGACAAGGGGAAAGCAGACTGCGGACGGCACGCCAACAAGCCGCCGGCCAAGAGGCAGGGGCAGGAGGAAGGAGTGGAAAGAGCGCTCAGAAGCACTAATGACTGAGGATCTCCCCAAATTCGTGTCAGGCACGAAACTGCACATCAAGAGGATCAGGGAACACCCTGTGGGATAAACACCAAAAAACCTACACCTCAGCATTATCAAGCTCCAACTTCAGAAAATCAAAGACAAAAAATTCTTCGGGGCGCCTGGGTGGCTCGGTGGGTTAAGCCTTTGCCTTTGACTCGGGTCATGGTCTCAGGGTCCTGCGACTGAACCCTGCATCAGGCTCTCTGCTCAGCAGGAAGCCTGCCCCCCCCGCCCCACTTCTCTGCCTGCCTGTGATCTCTGTCAAATAAATAGATAAAATCTTTAAAAAAAAAAAAAAAAAATCTTCAAAGAAGCCAGGAGGAAAAAAATACCTTACCTTTAAGGAAACAGTAAGAATCCCAACCATGTAAGAAAGAAAGGAATGAAATATTTTTTACAGGGAAGGGGACGGTACCAACCAACTTTCAAACCTGCAGCCTTCAAAATTATCCTTCAAAAGTGAATTAAAGACTTTCTCTGGCCAATAAAAATTGAGGGAATTTGTTGCCAGTAGATCTGCCTTGCAAGAAATACTAAAAGTCCTTTAAAGACAAGAAGGGTAGGACAAAAACTAGATCAACGTAAGGAGCATCAGAGAAAGGTTAAGTGGATAGAAAATAAACTCTCCCTTATTCTTAATTCATCCAAGAGAACGGCTCAAATTACCAGCAACAATGTACTTCTGTGCAGACCTGAGTTTAGGCGTAGGGGACATGAACAGGACTCCACTGGGCAGGAGGAAGAATGAGGAAGAATGAGGGGCTGTCCTCAGGCACCTGCACTCCCATGCAGCACGTGTCACCTGACTGCTCACCTGGGTTTTAAGTGCACACTGTGGACTGGAGGGCAACCAGTAAAAAAGGTAAAAAGAAAATGGAATCACATAAAAAGTTCCATTAAAACTACAAAAAGCAGGGACGCCTGTGTGGCTCAGTCAGTTAAGCGGCTGCCTTCGGCTCGGGTCGTGGTCCCGGTGTCCTGGGATCGAATCCCACATCGGGCTCCTTCCTCGGTGGGGAGCCTGCTTCTCCCTCTCCCTCTGCCTGCCACTCTGCCTGCTCTCAAGCACGCGCTCTCTCTCTCTGACAAATAAATAAAAATAAAATCCTTCAAAAAAAAGAAAACACGCTACAAAAAGCAGAAAACGTGTGGAAGACAAAAGCAGCAAAAAATCACTAAGAAAGGCAGGGAAAAAAATCACGAACGGTAACAATTTGTTAGATGTTAATGCAACTGACAAGGACCTTCTCCAGACTCTCTGGAGGCCTCATTACCTACTTTGCCGGAAGGTCAATTCTTGTGCCACCATCAGAAACACACTAAAACTGTTTTTCCCCAATCAACCCCACAATAGTGCAGGTGACCTGAGTGCATCTGCGGCCTACAAGGCTAAACCCAGGCAGCGCAAGTCATTTAGATTAGCATCTAATTAGACTCTTCATACTAGCAGCCGGAGTTTAACTTGTCAAGTAAAAAATACATGGGAATGGGGCGCCTGGGTGGCTCAGTGGGTTAAGCCTCTGCCTTCGGCTCAGGTCATGGTCCCAGGGTCCTGGGATCGAGCCCCGCATCGGGCTCTCTGCTCGGCGGGGAGCCTGCTTCCCCCTCTCTCTCTGCCTGCCTCTCTGCCTACTTGTGATCTGTCAAATAAATATATAAAATCTTTAAAAATAAAAAATTTTAAAAAGGTTCTCGATTTCTCCAAGTAGATGTTACAATTATGAAAAATAAGCTGGGGTATAAACACAATACCGAAGATACTCTCTCAGAGTGAAGGCTGGTCACTCAAGCATCATTTCCCTACCGCTGCTTGCTACTTTAACCCATGTACCATGACCTGGACACCAAAACACCAAGCTCGGATTCCCAAAGCAAAGTCAGCTCCATCTCCTATCATTACTCTACAGGCGAATTAAGCCATTATGATTTACATTTACAAATTTTATTAATAGAGAATTTTTGTTGGTAGAATTCTGGGTAAAGTAACTCTGGTCCTTTTTTCTAAGTATCTGAGACTTCCCCTTTGCAATCAAGAGAAGTAAGTGCATAGACTTACCACCCAAACCACCTTTACTGACTTCTATTCCTGTGTAACACTGAAAAAGTACCAGAAAGGCACTCTAGGGGCTCCCAAACCTCTTGGTTACCTTCAAAAACTCACCTTATTCACTTTAAAATTTCCTCTGACCAACCTAACCACCTCATTTTTCTCTAAATACATGGATAATCTCGAATACAGACCCTTGAATCAAACACTCCTCACCAACTGCCAGCAGCAGTCTGCAGAAAAAGAAAAGCCCCAGCCACAAAGAGAACAAATGCTCCTGCCCCAAAATAAAGATTTAAGTTAAATGTAACAAAATATCCGCACCACTAAACTAGTACAAATTTACTACCCCGCCACCAAATACCACCTCCCCGCAACCGTGCCCCAGAAACAGGCTGTTGACAGAAATGATCTCTACCAGGTAAGGCGAAGATGAGGAGACAGTGAGAAGGCTGGTCTCAGAGAACACATGGGACCAGACCCTCTCCTAACAGTCCCTTCCCCCAGAGGACCTTATGGGATTCAGGAGGCACAGCTTGGCTTCTGTGTGCTCTCACCCTTGGAACTTCTCTATCAGCTTTGACTATAAATACATCAGTGTTACTTGATGAGCTACGTGAGGTGCTGCAGGACGAGTTAGCTCTATAAAGCCAAGTTCTCTCTGAGTTGGCCCCCTTCAGCTACGCAGCCTTGCTTTTACGGTTTCTGAAGGCGAGGGAAGCCCAAGAATAAACACGGGCCCAGCGGGACGGCCGCAAGCACATCATCCTTAGACGTCTACAGACCATCCCGGAGTCAAGGTCCTCAAGTGCGGTATAGGATTAGACACCTCCACGCTCTGAGGTCTTACTCTACAGCCCAAAGGCTGGCCACCCACCCAGTAAGACGTTACTGGACAGAAGTGACCCTCTTTCCACAAGACCTTTCTCAAATACCTCTCTACCTAACATCTAACAAACCTCCCTCTGCTCGCAAAAGAAAAAAACACAAAAACCTTCTTTGTTCTTTCCAATCTGTGAAGACTGAATGTCGGGAATGGGAGGAGAAACCCTCCTCCTTGCACAACGCCTCTTCTTCTCCTCCCAGACTGCCACTCATTACACATTACCTTAACAGAATTCCAGCGAAAGGTCATATATCCACTGAACACATTCCCAATCTTTAGCTTAAAACCCCAGCAAATCAATATACTCTTTACTTCTATTAATTCAGAAAAGGGATAACTGCAAAAAAAACTTTATTTTTAAGATTTTATTTTTAACTAATCTCTACACCCAACATGGAGTTTGAACTTAAACCAACCCAAAATCAAGAGTCACACAGTCCAAAAAAATAATTACAATAACTCACATGCTCTACGAAGAGCCACCCAGGCGCCCCAAGAAACCATTTTTTTAAACGTTTAATTCTTCTGTGGCATCAAGCTAATTTAGTGGAATGCCGTTTGGTTAATGGAAATGAAAGCACCCAGTACATTTAACAAAAAATCAGTACATCTGGGGGCATCTGGGTGGCTCAGTCAGTTAAGCATCTGCCTTCAGGGTCCTGGGATCGAGCCCTACATTGGGCTCCCTGCTCAGCCAGGAGTCTGCCTCTCCCTCGCCCTCTGCTGCTTCCCCTGCTTGTGTTTTCTTTAAATCTTTAAAAAGGGAGGGACAAAGGAAAAGAGAGAGAGAAAGAAGAAACTAAATCTGGAGAAGTTACCTATGTATCATTCTATTACCTGAGAATTCTCATAATGGGGGGGCTGGGGACAAACACACAGAAGGGAACCGTCACTCCTTCCCACAAACCATCTACTTACATATTTGTTACCTAATATGCCTCAAGGATTCCTGAGACAAACAAGGAAGCTACTTCCACTGAACTCAAGATCTGAGACCAATGATTGCCAAAACCGGTAATTATCGACTATTAGACACTTACAGGCACGACTAATTTCCTTTCATTAAAATAAAATAGAAAATGCGTCAACTACTCAGTCCCGGTTTGTGAATTCAAAGTGGGTATTTCTGCCCCCCAACTTTCGGAAAGTCTGGATTCCATTATTAATCACAGAAGGGTCATCAGGACAAAGACAAACCAGGAAGGATCCAATCCAAACAAGGTTTTCTCAGCACTGTCGGTCTGGGGCGACGCCTTAGGCACACAGGGAGCACAGAAGTGGCGATTCCAGGCCTACCCCAGAGGAACACACAGGAAGGTCCTGGAATCCTGTGTTGGTGAAAAGGAGAACAAGAATTTTAAAGGGTACAAATCACATACCACCCGAAGAAATCACCCTTCCAAATACAACTGATCCTTGCAACTCACCTTAAGAATCCTAAAACTGGAGTATTTTTATAAACAAATACACACAAAAAAAGAAACCCCACCAACTCACAACGCACGCAATTCTACTGCCTCAGAGCCACTCGTGGTAGCTACTGTTTCTTACTTAGGATGTCGAAACTCCCCACAAATGTTAAGAAAGGACCAAAGTTTTCAGAGAAAACCCAGCTATGCCCAAATAACGAATAGCTTTTGAAGTAAGGTATTAGAGGTATAAATAAAAATACACTCCTCCCCACTTTGACATATAATGCAACCCTGAGGAACTTAACTGCCTTTATAATTTTCTCAAGATTTTCAGTTCTCTCTACGTCCACCACAGAGCTTCAACTTACACCCGGAAACCAAGAGTCACGTGCTGCAAACAGAGCCAGCCAGGAGCCCCTACCTCTGTTTTTTTTTGTTTTTCAGAAATTAATTTTCCCCACCTTAAAAATGAAGTACTTAAATAAACAGTACAAAGAACAACAGGTATTTTCTAAACTTACTTCTTTCTTAGTTAGGATATTAAAACAAAAAGGGTAACAGTGATCCTGCATGCTACCATTAAAGGACAAAATTTGGAAAAAAACCTCTAATTGACATATAATAAAAGCATCAAAGTTCTCCAAGCTGAGTTACCCATTAACTCATTTCCTTTAATTAGGTTTTAAATAGTCTTTCCGGGGCGCCTGGCTGACTCAGTTGGTACAATATGTGACGCATTATCTTGGCGCTATGAGTTCAAGCCCCAAGTTGGGGGTAGAGATTACAGTCGCTTGTCCTTCCACTCCTACGTTATCATTCCTGTCACTATACTTATCTTCAACCTTGCTGTTCTTCTACCTGCTGAATTTATTTTTTTAAAGATTTTATGGATTTATTTATGTGACCGACAGAGATCACAAGTAGGCAGAGAGGCAGGCAGAGAAAGGGGGAAGCAGGCTCCCTGCCTCCCGAATTTCAAATTCTCACAAATCCTAGGTATCAAAGAGAAAGGACAGCATTTGTTAATTCTTGCCACGGTCCCCATCCTAATTCCCCAATAAACCTGCAATTACGCCCATTTCACCACTAGGTGGTGTCCCGGGAAAAAAAAAAAAAAAAGGCAACCCAGATTTCTAACACAGACCACCCCCTACCCTAAATCAGATTCGTTTCCAAGATTTCAACAAAAAAAGTTTTTATATATTCTGTTAAAATATCCCCTTACAAATAGAGGCCGATTCCATTCACTTGATCCTTACTAACAGACCTCAGAAAAGGCATGTCATCAGCCTTACCCATTAACACAGCAGCTGACCTTCAATGGGCGGACCCACCAGCAGAAGGTAACAGGGAACATCACCAAGGTGACGCAGTTACACAGCGACCCTGAAAAGCTGAACTTACAATAACTCACTGAGGGTGAGGGCACCGGGGGGCTCAGTCGGTTAAGCATCTGCCTTGTGCTCAGGTCATGAACCTGGGGTCCTGGGAAGGAGTTCCAGGTCTGAGCAGGGAGTCCGCTTCTGCTTCTCCCTCCACCTGTGTGTTCTTCCTCTCTGGCGCGCACGCTTGCGCTCTCAAATAAGTCAGTAAGATCTTTAACAAAAGAACTCACTGAGTTTTAAAGTGCCCTCTTTAAAACTAAAAATATGCAGACACCACCCCACCGCAAAGCTGGTTTTTGAGTTTCCTGGTCAAAAACTACTGACGGTGCGAGCTGTACCGGATCTGTAACAACTGTGCGTTTACAACTGTCCAAAACTGCGTCAACACAAGGGAAACTGGTTCCATCCACTCTTAATTCTCACACCTATGACAGCAGCGGGTTCGCTAAAACAGAAAAGCTGTCGCCCGCCACGGAGCTGCGAGCAGCGTCCCTCCCTGCCCGTGACCCGGTCTGCAGCACGGTACTCAGCAGAACTCCCCACCCGGCCCTCCAGAGACGTCTGTCCTGCAGCCAGGAACACCCCTCAAACCACCAATGTCAAACCAAGAAGACAAAATTTAAAACACTGACGATTTTTCCTAAAGGACGCTGAAACTCCCAACCTGACCATCTCCTACAGCAACAAGTCGAGTCCGTTCAGGCCCATCTCAAAACTCAACTTCCCAACCCGCCCCCAAGCCAATTCGCCCCCGAATTCGACGCGCAGGATCTAGAACGTTCCGCGGCTCACTGGAGAACGCGCCGGAAAAGCCCTCCCGTTGTGTTACCCACCGCGCCAGTACCCGGAGCGGCGGGAGTCCCGACTGCGTTTCCCGGAGAGAGACCGTAAGTAAAGCCGAGGCGGAGCCGGGAAGGAACCGCACGGCCACCGAGCACTTCGGAGCCGCCTTTCCTAGAAACGACAGTGAGCCCGAAAACCGACCGGCGAGAAGCTCGGTGCCACGGTTTCTCCCGCCTCTCGCCGGTCCCTGCTCGTCATCAGACCCGAGTCCTCCCCAACTCGAGCCCCGACTTCCAGGGCGCCGGCCGGGGCTGGGGCAGGGCGCGGAGGAGCGCAGCGCCGGCCCCTCACGGGGTGACCTTGCCGCGCGGCCATGCCCCCGGGCTCGCGCGAGCAGGCGACAGCCACGACGCGCTCGGAGACCTTCGGGGACCACACGCGGCCTGCGGCGGACTCGGCCCGCGCCGACCCTTCCCTTACTTGGGCAGCAGCTGATGCGAACCCAGGGAACAGCGGCACGCTCCGCCCCACAGCGAACTTCCGAGAAGCCCCGAAGTTCCGGGCACGCGGCTTCGCGTCTCCGGGGCCGCTTCCCCGTCGCCGCCTCCCGCGCGGCCGCTCCTCTCGCCGCGAACCCACCGGCTCCGGGCCCGTCCACCCGGGACTCGAGGGCAAACAGCCCCTCGTGCCGCACGGCCCCCGCCGCCGCCGAGTCCGGGCCCGCGCCGTTCGCCCGCCCGCCCGCGCCCGGCACTGGCCCGGCACGGGCCCGGCCCAACCGCCGGCGCGGAGCCGGCCAAGGGCGAAGGCCGCCCCCGACTCCCGGGACCCGGGACCCGGGACCCCGGCCCGCCCCCGGCCTCCATGCGCCCGGCCCGACGCCCGCCCCTGACCCGCCAACCCCCGGACCCGCCGTCCATCCCCGACCCCCGACGTCCGCCCGCGACCTCAACGCCAGCGCCCCTCGCCCGACGCCCACCCCGGCCCCACCCCGGGACCCCGGCCTCACCCCGCGGTCCCGGCCCCCGACAGACACCCCAGCCAGACGCCCAACCCCGAAACCCCGACCCCACACAGCAGGCCGCAGGTCCCGACCCCCGACCCAACCCCCCCCCCCGGTCCCCCCCCCCGGCCCGACGCCCGGCCCCCGCCCGCAGGCGACCCTCACCGAGGACAGGGAGCCGGCGGCGAGCAGGAGGCGCGGCGGGGCGGTGGCCCGGGTCCCCTCGGCTCCGGCACGGCGGCGCTGGCGGCGGTGGCGGCGGCGGCTCCTCGCGCTTTCCTTTCTCTCCTTTCTCCGACAACAAACAGGAAGTACGTCACGCGGCGGCGGCGCGGCGAAGAGCACTTCCGCCCGGCTCTGACGCCGCGCATGCGCCCCGCCCCGCCCGCCTTCCCGAAGGTTCGCGGAGGCTGGACTGGGGGTGGGGGTGGAGGGGAGGAGCTCCCGCGAGTGTTGATCGGCGTCCACGGATCCGCGGGGCGGCGGCGGGTGGAGGAGGCCGCGCCTACGGCCGTCGGCCTTCCTCTGGTGTCCGGCCCGCCGCGGCCGCCCGGGACAGGCCTCTCTGACGTGGAGTAGCGTGGGCGGTCACGCTTAAGGACCTACAGGCCCAGTGTCGGCCTGAGCCGAAGCGGCCCCTTTGTACAAGGGCGCGTCGGTGCAGAGGGGTCGTCGGGTGCGAGCGTGTCCCCCCCCCAGGGGCAGGGAGAGAGGCTGACCGCGTCTCCGGGGAGCGCAGACCCCCTGCCAGCTGTGCCTCTCCCGAACCCCTCCCGGAACCGACTCCCCACCCCAGCCTTGCTACCCCCACCGCCATTCCCACCCCACCCCCAGCTCTGCCAGCTGTGCCTCTCCCGCATCCGTCCCAGAACTGACCCCCCACCCCAGCCTTGCACTCCCCACCCCACCCCCAGCCCTGCCTGCTGTGCCTCTCCCGCACCCCTCCCGGAACTGAACCCCCACCCCACCCCATCCCTGCCTGCTGTCCTCTTCTCCTCCCCTCCTGGAACCGACCCCCCACCCCCACCCCTGCTCCCCTCCTGGAGCTGACTCCCCACCCCAGCATCCTCTGGCTTCCGCTCCAGGACGGTGTTGAAGGCGGGGGTTTTAGACCATTTCAGGGGGCTCCTCGGTTTTCCGGGATGTCCCCTAGGTATGCACGAGGTGCATACATTGTTAGGCTTCTGTTTGCTCTCCTCCTCTTACTTGGTCTTACGTCAGTTTAATTAGTAGAGGGGCAACTTCCCCCCACCCTCCTAACTGATCTAAGCCCTTGAGAGCCTTTAGTAGAAGATACATTCAACGCTTTTTATTTATAACATCTGATTAATTAGCTTCACTCTAGGCCCTGGGAAGGCTTAAGTAGCCCTGCCTCTAGTTTGTCCTACTCTGGGGGACAGACTGCCCCAAGGTGGGCCACTCTGGCGTGAAGATTATTTTGAGCTGATGGCAAAGGAGACCCTGTGGGCTCAACAGAATTTTTTGCCCCTCCCTTAATTACATGGAAGAATCTAAATTGGGAGTCTTCCCAAGAACACTGGTTACTACCAGAGATAAATTTTATGTGAGTGACCCATCCTATGGCAGGACAAACATCTAATTAGCGAACATTTGCTCTTTTTCTTACTGCCCTGTGAATTACATTCCTTCCCTTCAAAGCCCCAGACCCTTACCTTTTTCTT